GTACAGCCAGTCTTCAGCCTCCTGCAGCGCAACGAGGAGCTTCGACTTCTCATCTGCCTTGACGAATGAAGCGTAGCGGTCATCGAGCTTGCCCCGCATGTCGTAGACGTATTCCTCCAGCGCGTTTTTGCGGTCCTATAATTAATGAAATAAGCATGCGTTGAGAACAACGTGTAGCCACTACATACCTCGGTGTCCATGACGAGCTTGTCAGCAGCGTGCATGGCGTTTTCCTGCTCCCGCAGTGCCTCGACGGCAGCCTTGTCCATAGACGATGTCGAGGCGATGAATGGCACTTCCTTCTTCTTGACGCGCTTCTTCTTCGGCAGCGGGGGGGCCTCGCCATCGGCAGCGGGGTCGACGTCCATCGGGGCCGGCTCATCTTTCTCCTCAATCTCCTCGACATACGCTCCCTCGAAGGACATGATGCCGTGCGCGTTGATCCGTGTCTTCACGCGGACACATGTCGAGTCGCCCTTCGGGTCTGCGGGGACATCCTTCACCGTGAAGCGCCCCACCCACGGGTTGATGCGACCGGGTAGCCCTGCGGGATCCGCGTACACCGCTTCGAGGTCGAAGGTCTCGCGGCGGTAGAACGAGAGGACCTTGGTCGACGGGAGCTTGTCGCCCTGCTGGAACACGGTGAGCTCCGTGTCGTCCTCAGGGTCTGTCGGCAACGAAGCCCACTGGACTTTAATCGGGTAGTGCGTGATATCCTGCGTGTGGAAGTCGCGCACACGGAAGACGGGGGAGAGCATGGCACAGCAGAAGGTCGCGCCGCGGGCGATGGCCTCATCCTGGTTGAGGGTCGTCGAAAGGACCTTGCCCGGGAAGACCTCCTGGATGCGGGCGCGCACGGAGGGGATACGGGTGGAACCTCCGATGAGCTCGACCGCATCGATTTCGTCGAGGGTGAGGCCAGAATCGGCGAGAGCACGCTGGAGAGGCGCTGGAATGCGGGCGAGGACTTCGGAGACGATCGCGAGTCCTTCCATATCATCCCGCGAGAGTTTGGAGGCCGCGTCGACATCGTTCACGATGGACTCGACGTTCAAGGGAGATTCAGCGTTGGCGGAAAGCACCTTTTTCAGTTTTTCACATCCCGCAGCAAGACGGAAGGTCGCCTTGGGGTTGGACATGACATCGATCTTGTACTTTGTTTTGAATTCCTCAGAAAAGTGCTTGACGAGGGCGTAGTCGATGTCACGCCCGCCAAGGTTCCGGTCGTACGCAGCGCTTTTGATCACGAGCTGCCCCTTGGAAAAGGCGACGATAGCAACAGACAGACTTGAGTGACCAACATCGACGAAAACAACGTGTCGGGGATTTTCTGGCTCTGGTAGATCGGATTTGGTGATTCCGTAGCCGAGAGCGACGGCGGTCGTGTCGTTGATGAGCCGCAGGGGGTTAAGGCCCGCAATAGCGGCAGCATCGAGAAGAGCTCGCCGCTGGATGTCGGTGTACCAGCCGGGCACTGCAATCACGACATCTGTGACGCCGGCCTTGAGCTCTTTGGCCGCAATGTCGCGCAGTTTGCCCAGATACATGGCCACGAGTTGCGTTGAAGAAAAGGTTTGCTTCTCTCCGACGTAATTCACCTTGGGATATAGGTGAGCAAAAAGAAAACTGATCAAGATATAACCGCGACGAACCTCAACACCGACAGTACCCTGGACATCGACAAGAGTCGCGTTTATGAACTTCTTTTCGATCTCCTGGACATCAGTATCGCCAAGGGTCCGACCGATTAGTCGCTTCAAGGAACCGATGGTATTCCTGAAGTTGGACGTCTCCTGGGTCTTTGCGGCCTCGCCAATCGCTCGCTGTTTGGGGCCAAAGGCGACCAGGGACCTAAAGGGAAACTGAGGACCAATTCAAGCCAGCAATAGCGAAGCACGCACGGTGTAGCTCGATTAGAGACTTCATTGGTGATGATATCGATTCCTCGATGTCTCGCGACACCGATCTTTGTAGGGAAAAAAGTTAGGACGAGGATACGAGAGGAATACAGGACATACTTTACTGTGTAGAGTTCCGAAATCGATACCGACGACGGCCATTAGAAGTGAAGTAGGAAAGAGGATGAAGAGAGTGAGTGACCGCGAGGCAAAAAAAAAGCGTCCTAATATGGAAAACCAGATCACCCGCGAATGTTCTCGAACTCTGAAGACTGTTTTTCCTTTATTCGGTCTTGAGGCTGTTTTCGACTATCTGCACAGCTGTTGTGCGCTACAAGCTGTAGCTGACCGAGGATTCCAGCAGACAAATATCGGACTCGCTCATTCCACTCCAAGACATTCCTTGCTGAAAGTTTTTATCCAGTACATACCTGGACGACACAGAACCCATGACTTACATGGATCTCCGGGGTGCGGTCGTATATGACCGCCATCGCGATGCGAGAGCAAGGCAACGGATGAATTTTGCGCAGGAATTCAACGATTGGTGGTAGCTTTCCTCTCTTCCAGATCTTTAACCCTTCTCCTACGCGTCCAATACGCGTCGGTATTTTCCTTCAAATATCAATCAGTTGACTTTCTTCTCGCTTCACTTCGGCGGACCCTTTTCCACAATCCGTCCTTGACATCTCGTTCAACCGCTTTGGATGTTTTCCTTGTAGAGAACTTCGAGGTCCTCATTTTACACTGCTTCTCTGTTTTCTCTTCAGTTCTACCACGGCGTTCAAAAGATCCTCAGATAATAATGCCTGGGTTTGGTGTCCGATGCCGATGCGAGACTCCTACCTACCTATTCCTTGACCTACTCTTTCATTCCATCCCTTCACGTACGCGTCGGCATTTTCCTTCAATTGACAGCAGTTGACTTCAATTGAGAGCTCGCCTGGAGCCGCAACAACGCCACAATCTCTGATTGCCTTTCGGAATGTGCCTGCTATATCCGTGAACTAAGTACGCTACATTTCTACATGTTCGTCTCTACCGTTCCAAAGTGGATTTATGTAGTCGATCGACTTGTGGGCGTCGGTAATTATAATATATCGCTCCCTCGAAAAGCGTCCGGGGAAGTTCTACTTATGCGGCTGTCGCTGTCGCCACCCGACCCTTCCTTTGTCGTCAAGCCGCTTCGGCTTTCATTGTTTGGCGAGCATACTTCAACCGGCTATCATCTACGCGCAGAACTCACGGAGGTATGATGGAGTTCTAAAGCCCGTGCGTAGTGGTCTGGAAGAACTCCCATGTCGTCTTCTCCACTGGAGCTACCCTCGGCCATCGTCGACGCTCTGTGGGACCTCCAGGAGACCCGGTTCGTCAGCGGTGAGTCCTTTTACTTGGAACTTGAAGAGTAGTTCTCACAATGTGGATGACAGCCGTTGGACTGGTGGTGAAGCATTCCGCGCTCATTTTTTTTCTCTTTCATCTCAATAATCCTGTGTAGATTCTGCTTTACGACCACCTTCTGTCGCTTCCCGATGAGGTCCGCTTTATTTGGCCGGCTGAATTCACGTCGAGCAAGATTCTCTTTTTGGCATTGCGCTATTGTGTACCCTGCATCATGATCGTCCACACCGTTCGTGAGTAGTACGCGCCGGGAATTTTTCTAATCTCAACTGTGTCGTCCAGAACTCGCAGGACTGTCTCCCCTCCAGCTCACCGACACAGTACGCTTCTCTTTTCTATCATATCTTGCATGATTTTTCTAACTTGTCCTCAGTTGTGGGTCCGTTCTTATTCTCTTTCTGGCAACTCTAAATATGGTCTTTGGCCAGCTGTAAAGCCTGGTACTGTGTTGGGATACTTTTGGGCTGGCTGACCCTCGCCATCAATGATTGGCTAGTTATGCTTCGCCTGTGGATTTTATTTGGTTAGCCTTCGTTTTATTTTCCCACCTACCGAGCTAAATTCCACCAAGACCGAAACCGCGCATTCATCCTCTGCACGCTCTTGTTTTTCATCGCCTCAAACACGGTGATCCTGGTCTTATCGGGGATCGGCTTCCACGACATGATACGTATGCTCATTTTCCGTCTCCGCGAAGCACCGCTCAAATGGGCGTAGCGACTACGCGCTTCGAACCCCTTGTCCATGTCTGCGTGCCCGATTCTTCTTCAAATCACATTCGTGTCCTCTGGCTACCAGTGGTATGTCATTTTTGTTGCACACGATGTGCCGTGTGCTAATTCCCCCACAGCTATTATTCCAATTCATGATGATTTCCGCCTTGGGGTGGAAGGTCTTAACGCGAACCAAGACGTTCAGTACCCTACTCCGTGATGGTTATCTCTATTTTCTCGTGCGTCGCAACCCGTTTCTACTTACTATACTGATTGATAGGAATCCAGCTGCTATTTGGTAAACTCGTCTAAATCATTCCAAAGTCATTATTGAAAAAAGAAAACCAGGGCTGAACGTGTTAAATACCACGATCGTTCTCGTCGCCGAGGTACGCCATTTTTTCGAGAGGGATACCATCCCTACTTATAAATGTGGCTCTATAATAGGCTTCGCTGATGTTCGTCACGGTCTTGTGCGTGGCTCTCAATCTGTCCCCTCCGGTGCTACTAAGTTAAGTGCTAACGGCTCCACAGCTTAGTGTGGTGTTTCACGACGACCGCGACATGCCGTATGATCCTTAGTCTTCGACGTTCTTCATTTTACGCGCGAGAGGGAGTGGAACCCTTGGACAATGATCACGACTCTCCGATCGGATACCGATCAACTGCACACCTCGAGCTTTCAGAGATTCGCAACCCATCGTCCTCGACGTCAAGAGGCATGGATACACCGATGCAATTTAATGACTGATGGACGCGACACGACGTTTGGAAAATGCTCTGACGAATTCGAAAGGACGACAGTAATAATCGTACAGCTAAACTAATATAATCTGTAAAACGTGTAGCAACAGAAAATTGTATATATTACGATCCCCTTATCAGCATTGGTGTCTTCGCTTGCGATTTAGCATCAAAGGAAAATGAAGGTGGATGAGTAGAGGAACGAATGGGAAATTAAAAAAATATTGAAGAAAATAAAAAAGAACTCTCGACCTGGGAGTCGAACCCAGCTTTCGCGCGGACTTCATTACGTCCTTGAAGACATCAATGACAAGCGCGTGTACTAAACCGATATACTAGTCAAGACATACCTATTTCGCAAAATTGTTAGAGTATGATCGTCTGTTCAGGTTCGTGAGCAGTGCAGTCCATCGAACTTTTCAACATGACATCTACATCGCCCAAGAACAATTGGGGTTTTCAACCTACAGGTTTTGAACGCTATGATTGCCCTAAAATTATAGAGCAGCCGATCAACGATGAACAAAAGCCGTAGTTCACCACTCGCTCACCCAAACGCTGGCTGCCCCTGCCAATAAAACTACCCGAGTATCCGTTTGGACGGCGCTGTGGTCATGGGTGCAGCTCTAGACAGTTCGCAGAGCCTCGTGTCACCAACCTTCGATACCTGGGAGCATCTAAAGCCGTCAGTACGGCGAGGAAACGACCGGGGTCGCCATCCGGGTATAAAGTGGTTCCGTCTTGATTCCACCTCTCACTACCGTCCCTTGCATCTCACGCGTACGGGTGCTGGTCTGGTTCCGAAAAACATATACGCGAGTTGACGGCCGCGTCGGTGTGACTATGACTAGTTCTATAAAGGCGGCCTCCCTCGAAATTGAAATTCATCAATATAATTCTGGGACGGGAGCGATGGGGTTCACATTACGGATCTGGAAGACGGCAAACCGGACTTCTGTGTGATTTCGGCGCTTCAACGGGTGTTCTTTGAAGACAAGACGATGGCCGTTGTACGCCGATTGTTCGCGATATTTACCACGATTTTCAGCTGGTTCAAGTTCGCTGTTACACGGGAAGAAATATTTCGACCACCGCGGATTTTCCTTGAATTTTCAAGGTTTCTTCATCGCGATCATCGGCCAGAATCGAGCCAGAATGTTGCCAAATGTCGTCAGTTGACCCATGGTTGTAAATAGAGCAGTCAATTGTAGCCAATCACAGGACTTTATTTTGTATGTAAACCCATAAACGTGATCTGGGGTAAATTATATAAAAGGATCCTTCAATTATTCACGGCTTCACCTCTTGCTCTTCGACTACCACCATGCCCTCCAAGCAAGTAACCGCTCTCGGCCCCGAGTCGCAGCATTACACTACGTCCAATGGCGCGCCAGTATCGGAGCCGTATGCTGCCCAGCGTCTAGGTCTTCTTGGCCCGCTTCTTCTCCAGGGTGCGCTTGCATCTTTACTGGGTATCTTGCGCTGACCCCAGCTCGTAGATTTCCACCTCATTGACAGCATAAGCCATTTTGACAGAAAGTTTCCCCCCTAATCGATATGCGAAAGATACTAATTTGTTTTGCAGGGGAGAGAATTCCCGAGCGTGTGGTATGCTCAACTTCTGCCGGTCCCGATTTCTTCTTAGGGATTCCTAGGTCCACGCCAAGGGTGCAGGAGCCCACGGATACTTCCAAGTCACCGAGGATCTCAGCGATATCACCTCCAACCCTCTTCTCTGCACCAAAGGCAAAAAAGTCAAGGCAACCGTCCGTTTCTCGACTGTCGGTGGCGAGTCTGGTTCTGCCGATACTGCTCGCGATCCCCGTGGCTTCGCGATCAAGCTCAGGACCGAAGAGGGTAACTGGGATTGGGTGTTCAATAACACGCCCGTCTTCTTTATTCGCGACCCCGCAAAGTTCCCCCATTTCATCCACACCCAGAAGCGCGACCCTCAGACTCATCTCAAGGATCCCGACATGTTCTGGGTGCGCATATCGTCTCTAGATCTGATTAGCATCCTGATTCCCGATCGTATCCAGGATTACCTCAGTCAGAACCCGGAATCTATTCACCAGATCATGATCCTCTTCAGTGACCGCGGCACCCCCGATGGCTACCACCGTCAGCACGGCTACTCCGGCCACGCCTTTAAGTGGTTCAAGAAGGACGGATCCTTCGTCTACACCCAGGTCCACCTCCGCGCCGAAGGTGGCTTCAAAACCCTCAGCAACGCAGAGGCCGGGAAGCTCGCCGGTGAAAACCCCGAGTACGGTATCGAGAGTCTCTTCGAGGCCATCGAATCCGGCCACCCCCCGACTTGGAATGTCTTTGTCCAGACCATGACGCCAGCCCAGGCCGAGCAATTCCGTTACAACGTCCTCGATCTCACAAAGGTGTGGCCGCACGCCGAGTTCCCGCTGCGCCCAGTCGGCAAGCTCGTCCTCGATGAGAACCCGCAGAACTACTTTGCCGAGATAGAGCAAGCCGCCTTCTCGCCGTCTCACCTTGTCCCATACATCGAGCCCAGCGCGGACCCCGTCCTGCAATCGCGTCTCTTCTCTTACCCTGACACCCACCGTCACCGCCTCGGCACCAACTACCAGCAGCTGCCCGTGAACGCGCCCCTTGTCCCCGTCGCCAACTTCCAGCGCGACGGCCAAGGCACCTTCGTTTCGCAGGGCGCGCGCCCCAACTACCAGAGCACGATCGTCCCGCTCAAGTACCTCGGCGCCCCCGGCACGCTCGAGGGCGGTGCGTGCGACTTTGAGCGCGAAGCCAAGCACGAGACGTTCATCGGTGCCGCGTTCCGCGACCTCAGCTTTGTCACTGAGCGTATGTACCTTTCTGCCCCGACGCGCGCACTAAAATGATCCCGGTCCTTTCGCAGTCGACTTTGAGCAGCCTCGTGCGATGTGGAGCAAGGTGTGGAACGACGCCCAGCGGGAGGCGTACGTCCAGAACGTCGCCGGCCACTTCAAGAACGTCAAGAGCGCCGAGATCAAGGCGCGCCAGCGTACGTGCTCTGTTTCCCTCCGTCCCGATTCCAGCTTAGGTTGACTTCCGCGTACAGTGTCCGTGTGGGCCGCCGTCGACCAGGGCTTGTCCGACCGCATCGCCAAGGCCGTCGGCGCGCCGACCGTCAAGCCGCTCCAGGTCAAGTCCGCGAGCGAGGCCGTCAAGTTCCGCGCGAACATTGGTGTGTACCCCTCGAATAAGGCTTGAACGCAGCGCAGTGAGTGTCGATCAAGTCTTCAAGGTGTCGAGGTGGTAAAGAGAGACAAGCGAAAGAGCACATAGCAATCCTGTATGTACGAAAAAATCAAGTGTAACATGAATTCATCCACGCTCTTGTGCAATGTGTAACTTTGAGGCGAGGTTTATGACTGGAAGGAGAGAAAATTTCACTTGTCATCAAAAACGCAAATGATTGGATCACGGAAAAATTCCCAACTTCAAGTCGCTTCCTACCACTAAGCTTAAGGCGGCTCGTACCTCCCCACCTTAGCTCACAATAAGCGCGGAGGACACGGCTGGAATGGGGCTCATTGACCAGGCAATAAATTGGCGGGCATCCAATGAAACATCAAAACGGGAGGACCAGTGGTACGACCGATCTAAGCTTTACTTTGAACTCCCAACACCTCTGGTCGCTGGCGGCACGTTTCACGTTCCACATCTTCCTCTGTACTACCATCTCTGCCAAAAGTGTTGAAATAGCCTGACCCGTATCCTATCCGCGTTTGCCAGGTGGTTAATTAATACAGCAACCGTCAATGGCGCGATATATGGACTATGTACAGCTTTGTCTACAGCTCATGGACGACCGATATTCTCATTATAAAATCAGCCCTATTCAAAGCCTTTTAAACTCCGCCTTTGGGAAATCAGCGTTTAACATATTGGGGAGGGCGTCAATTCAAGTTGCCCAATAATAATAATGTTGTTTTCCCCATGTTCACTGTGGAGTCCTCCGTGACTGTCAACTTCCAACAAGAAGATATCCCTACTCCAGGCCATGTCCTCCACACCGAAAGCCAATGGTGACCAGTTTAGGAGCGGTATGCTCACAATCCGCATCTTCTCAGGTTCGGCTACAGCACACCGATTCGTGTCAGTGCCACTGCTTACCCGCGCGCAGGGCGCGGATTATCTCTGCCCACCGATGTCGCGGTCCCGGAAGCCATCCAGAAAGCCTTGAACACGGCCCCGGCCGCGAAGAAGCCGGCTACTAACCGCGAAAGTATGCAACGCAAACAATACCTCCCCTACGTCGTCCTGGAATTCGACAAAAATGAAACGCAATGGACGGGGACCTGGCGAGTCCAGTGTGGAACTATCGGGCTCATTTGTCCGTCCATTTTGACACCTCTCCATTCCGTTCCAGTCACAAATGACACAGCGATGTGTCTTGTACCTCCAATGTGTCCGTGTCCGCGTATCTGCGGACAGATGTCGCAGTGAAAGGCCAGGACGATATGGGCGATCATTTGCTCATGGCACGAGGGGACTTGACACCCGCTTGGGACACCCATGCAAGTCCCTTTCCTCTATAATATAATATAAGCAGGTCCCTAACCGCCTTAGCAGCATGCCTCGGACCAATGGTATGCCGCCACGACCGGCACGGGCTCTCTTCACGTTAAGATTGACTTCCAACCCATTCGCGACGAGTTTAACGATTGAAGCTTCTGATCTCCTCAAATAAGGCATGAACGTAGTGCAGTGAGTGTCGATCAAGTCTTCAAGGTGTCGAGAGACGAGCGAAAGAGCACGTATATGTATGAAAAAAAAACGAAGTGTAACGTGAATTCATCCACGGTTTTGTGTAACTTTGACGCAAGAGAAGTTTTATGAAGTGAGGGGAGCTTGCCATCAAAAATGTAAATCGGATTCCAGCTATTTTGAAAACGATAGACAATATTTATTCTAGAGCAAAGTTCGGCTCGCAGCAACCGAGCTTCAGAAAAACGAACTCCAGATCAACGTTTTGGACAGTTGAGCTCGTTGCGGCGAGAAATCAACTCGAGATAGCGTGCCAGGCCGAACTTTGCTCGAGAATGAAATTGTCTATTGTTTTCAAAATAGCTGCCAATGGATGACGAAATTTTTTGCAGACTTCAAGTCGCCTCAGAGAGCTCTCGAAATTAAGATTTGGTCAAGTTGAGTGGCAATCCCGGTCAGCTCAGTCACTTGTTTTTCGCGGCTGTTTGAGACGTGTGCTGTTAATAGGCAAGCGACCTGGACTTTGGTCCAGAGGTAGCAGCTCGTATTTTATCACCGTCAGAGCAAAGAATTTCGAACGGCTCAGCTGAAGCAAAGGTTCTAGTTCTCTCTACTTATTTCAT